GCCAGAGTGAGCTGCCCGCCTTCCGCGTGCCCTACCCACCGCGCCAGCTGCTGCGCGACTTCCAGAACCGCCTGCCCTACCTGTACCTGCACTATGCACTCTTTAAGGTGGGCGCCGCCAGGAGAGCGCGTGGGACTGGCGCCCAGGATGCGCCCCGCGCCCCACCCACCTCTTGGTCTTTGATGTCTGCACCCAGGACGATCGGCCGGAGAGGGCGGTGGCCGCGGCCTATACTTTCCTGCAGAAGAACCCGAAGCACGAGCTGACCGCCAAGTACCTGGCCTACTACCGGAGCATGGTGGACATCTCCGACGAGTCCCTCACCGACCTGGAGGCCCAGCCCTACGAGGTGCGGGCGGGAGGAGGATGCTCAGGACGCTGCGTCCATTGGATATAGAGGAGCAAAGGGGTTGGGGTTCCCCTGACCCCCCTGTTCCCCCAGGCCGTGTTCCTCCGGGCGGTGAAGCTCTACAACAGCGGCGATTTCCGCGGCAGCGCCGAGGACATGGAACGCGCCCTGGCCGAGTACCTGGCCGTCTTCGCCCGGTGTCTGGCGGGATGCGAGGGGGCCCAGGAGCAGGTGGAATTCAAGGACTTCTACCCGGCCATAGCAGGTACGTGCCTCCTGCGGCTGACACACCCGGCCGGGCACAGGCATGGAGCAGCTGCGAAGAGCTCCTGCGGCAGCAGAACCCAGAGCTCGGGGTGTTGGGGTGCAGGAGGGGGCTAGGGAGGTGCCAAGCAGTTGCCCCAGGTGAGCCATCCTATCATGAGCTGGAGTCGCTGTGCGCCAAGCTTGCCACTGACACTGCTCCTTGTGACGTCCACACACCCTGGGCCGGCAGCCCCCAGCCCCCACCCTGTCCCCAGATCTCTTTGCAGAGTCGCTGAGGTGCAAGGCGGACTGCGAGGCTGACCTCACCCCTAACGTGGGCGGCTACTTCGTGGACAAGTTTGTGGCCACCATGTACCACTACCTGCAGTTCGCCTACTACAAGTGTGAGCTGGGGGCCGGTCCGGGGCCTCCCACAGCCGGGGTGCCGCCCAGGTGGAGGAGCCAGGCTCGGGGCAGGCTGCATGCGGACAGCAGCAAGAACCGAGGGCCTCTTGCCAGCAACTAAGCACTGGCGGCTCACGGAGCCCGAGCTCGCTCTGCCCTCCCCAGGGACCTCTGCACTTCGCAGAGGGCGAAGCCGCGGGGCTGGTGGAGGGCAAGAGCTGTGAGTCTCCGGCACCCAGAGACGAGCACCAGGCTTCGGGGGCTGCTGTCTCGGGCCCCGGGCACTCGGGGTGCACCACGTTTGCTTGTTTGCATGGCTGCCGCGCGGGTTGCAGGGCACTGGGCGGGGCCGCGGTCCCCAGGGACCTGGCAGGGCGACCCTTCGCTCCCTTCCGCCCACAGTGAACGACGTGCGCCAGGCCGCCCGCAGCGCCGCCAGTTACATGCTCTTCGACCCCGGGGACGCCGTCATGCAGCAGAACCTGGTGTACTACCGCTTCCACCGCGCGCGCTGGGGCCTGGGCGACGAGGACTTCCTGCCCCGGTTGTTTTTTCTCTCTTTTTATATCATGGCATAACTCAGTATTGGCCTTTGCATTGTGATGAAAGTCAGTCACTTAAAGATGTTTTTTATTCAGTAAGTGAGGTGGTTCTCTCACCTATGAAATCACAATGTTTGAAACGATTTTCCTCGTCTTTGCACTGGTCAAGAAAGGCTAAATACAGGTCAGCCCAGTCTCCGGGCAGCCCTGAGTGCCTGATCCACACGAGCTGCCGCTGCTCCCCGTCCCCGAGCCAGGAGGGCAGCAGCCCCGGGCGCTGTGGCAGCGGGACCTGCTCACCCGTCCTCGTCCCCAGGAGGCCGAGCTCTACCACGGTCAGACGGCTGAGCTGCGGCAGCTGCTGGACTACACGCATGCGCACCTGCAGGCTGACGACGAGGTCAGTGTCCCAGCCTCAGCGGGCCTCCCGGGTCACAGAACTGCACTGCCCTTCTCTGTGCACCTCGGTGTCCCCGGGACCCTCCTGTACCGCCCCAGGCCTGGCTCGCTCTGTGCCACTTGGAGGCAGGGACCCTGGCCCCAGCCCTGCTGTCAGTCCCAGTCCCCGTCGGTGGCAGGACTCAGGCCTGGATCTGGACTCAGGGCCAATTCGGCCCCTTCCTCCGGGAGCACCCAGCTGGATCTGGCCCCACAGCTGCGTGCAAATGATTGACAGGGTGGCACACCTGGCCGCACCGCCTCACCTCCTCCTTGATAGCCTCAGGCGTCTTAGCTGATGTCTCCACTCCGCGGTGGTGAGAATTACGTGAAATCCAGAAGGAACAGTGGGCAGGGCATGGTGGTGCACACCTAGATCCCAGCACTTGGGAGGCTGAGTCAGGAGGATCCAGGTTCAAGCCCAGCCTGAACAACTTCACAACTTAGTGAGACACTGGATCAAAAAGAAAAGAAAAGTACTGGTAGTTCGATCCTCATGCCAAGAAAAAAAAAAAAAGACTGGGGATGTAACTCATTGTGAAGGCTATGGGTTCAATGCCCAGGACTGGGAAAAAAAAAATGCTCCCAAGCGCTTGTGGCGCCAGCCTAAAGAAAGCTCAGGGTAGGAACTGTATTGGTGGTGTCACCTTGTTATTTGCTGCCTGCTGTCAGCCAGCCACCAAAGGTGTGGTCCCTGTCCCCTGTTTTGTGGGGAAGGAGACTGCTGCTGGAGAGGTGCAGGCCACCCAGGGTCTGGCAGAGGGCGGGCGTCAGCGAAGGTCCCCCTGACTCAGGCCCAGCTCTGTGGGTGTCGGCCAGAGCCGTCCAGTAGGTGCAGTGCCTGCGTGGCTGTGCCCTGGGCAGGCTGGATGAGGACAGGGGGTGCTTGCTGTTCCAGGGCCAGGCCCCACATCGCTCTGCTGCTTGACATGGGGGGTCCTGGGGGACTGAGATGGATCAGGGCGTCCCCTGGCTGGGAAGAGCTGGCTGTGCCCGGGCCTGCAGTGACCCCGATTCACGCCCAACCCCGAGCCCCTCTAGATGGCGCTGGAGGAGACGGAGCCGCGCCCCCAGCCGGAGCAGCTCCTGTCCGATGCGGAGTTTGAGGGGATCGGTGACTACGAGGAGGGGCTCTACGCGGACTGGTGGCAGGAGCCAGACGCCAAGGGGGACGACGCCGAGGCTGGTGAGAGGGACCCTCGGCTAGGGCTGTCCTGGGTCCCGGGGCTGTGGCTGGCTGAGACGCGTCCCGCCTCCACCTGCGCCCTCCTCCC